ACAGTCTCTGATTTTCAGCCATCGTAAGTTGAAACTTTAGTCAAATACTGTAACAGCAAATTGTTTCCGATCCTCTGTTTTATTCAACAATTTAACAAACGAGCCGGGACTCTTCGCGCGTAGAAAAGCCTAATCAAAATCAAAATATTAAACTGTAATACATTAGTCTAAAACCTTTCAAACTTTTGTTTTATGAAACATCGCTATTTTCCCCCCAAAAAATGCAGAAAAAGTCTCGGACTGCGTGCGCAGACAGCGGGTCCGAACCCGAACCCGCAGGTTTCACCATGAGTTTCAAGCAAGGTAAAGGACAGGTTCCTCTCGTACTATGTCGATGTACCTGCGCCACAATGCCGAGACCCGATAAAAGGTCATGTGAGTTGGCACTTTGTAGCACATGCTGAGTCGAGTACTGTAGTAGAATATTCGCTGTCGAATAGAGGCGTTACCCACGCACAGCTTACAAAACTTTGGAGCAGAAATCGATGGATAAAATGACTAGATGTCGCTATCCTTCCCGGTTCTCGTGACAGCAAACGGTATAACAATGTTGTACCAGCAACCAAAGTATGTAGGAAGTTTTTCTACGCCGTATCTTTTCAAATTAATTGTTAACAAAGTTGCATGACATATTTCACGTGCATGGAATGCTGCATTTGTGTCGCTTTGAATGAATATGGAAGCTACATCCTTGCAAAATTATTGGAAAGAGAAAAAATTATGCCTCCTCCAATATCTAATAGATGTCGTTAGTAGTCCCCAGTAAGGTTCATATTGGATTACCAGAATGCTCCCTAACCTGCTCTGGCATAGTAGCACAGTTACTTCGTGCAATTATTACGCAGACTTCTCGCACGGGTCGTCAAACTGGTAACGCGGGTTCGAATCCCGCAGGACTGTGCACGCTGTCCGGAGTTTTTTCTCATTGCCCCCGACTATGGTAGTTGGATCAAGTTAATATTCGGAAAGGGTCAACCCCATGGGAAGGGTGTGTGACTGTGACGGGCATTACGATAAAACATTCGGTTGTCTATAACCCGTCGAGAGAAACCTCTGTGAACCATTTTTCGAAGAATGCGCAATGAAGTTGTCGTCTTGAGACTTATGCTCAGAAATAAAGCGGCATTCAGAAAAGATCAACCCAATATTCCTGTTTCTACAATTACTTTTGTGAACACTCATTCAGATTGCCACTCAAATTCATACAAATTTGAACCATGAATGGTACTATACTTACAATAAACATGTATGTAGAGTACAGACGAGTGTTGAAGTTACTGTACATGATTCAGAGCACGAATAATGTTGCGGGAGATGAAATTGATGAAGGCTTGATGGTTTCTTATTTTTGCACAATTATTATTACGCAGGAATTTCAGAAACAAGACCTTTTCAAAATTTGTTTCTTAGTGTAAACTTTCCTTATCCGAATTTTTATATCCGAGAATCTTCCAATACTGAAGTAGAGGAAAGCTAAATTATTTATCACTGCAGTGGCTTTGAATTGAACAAAAACCTTTTGTTTTCGTTGCTGATTGAAAAGATCAATCTGTGAGCCTCAGTAAGGAAAATTTTTGTTCCAGTTCACATTCGAGCTCAATTTCACTGACTGAATTTTGGCTGATATTTAATTTTAAAATTCTGCGCGAAAAGGCACGATGATTCGTCAATCGTCATACATTTCGTTAACGTATATTCAAGGGTCTCGTTAGAATGAAGATTGCCAAAATTTGATGACATTTTCTATACACACGAAATGTGCTGTCGATTCACGTAAAAGTTACACTGACGAATGATTGTGCATATTGGAACGAACGTGTAGTTGGATTGGAGGCGAAGCCGTCCGGCGGGCAACTCATCCTAGGCATGTGGAAGATGAGCGACCTCTAGGTATTTAATGTATGGATTCTGATTTGAACGCTTGAAACGATATGAACAGGTGACGTACGAAAATGACAAGGAACTCCCTTTTCAGTTATTCTCCACGCACGCATTCGCTACGTTAATGCAATCGAGTTTCCGGCGGAATACAGTGTTTGGCTAACTTTTGGGAAATCAATCACGCTTACCTGATCGTGGGATCAGCTTTCGTGGCTTCTTTGATCTATGCTGCATATTTGATTTGCTGCAAGCCATCACTCAATCGTGGTTTGGTGAGTTTTTCTGCTATTTTTTTAAACGCGAAAAACCCATATAATTCTGACTAAATCTTCACTAAATTTTCGCTTGCTTCCACTTTTTGTATTGTACTGTAGTCCACTTCTTGTTTGTCGATGTAACTGCGCCACAATGCCGAGACCGATTAAAAGGTCTAGTGAGTTGGCACTTTGTAGCACATTCTAAGTCAAATACTGCAAAAAGTTCGCTGTCGAATAGAGACGTCACCCAAGCACAGCTTATACAACTTTCGGGCAAATATCAATACATAAATTGACTAGATGTCGCTATTCTATCCTGTTTTCGTGACAGCTAACCGGTTTGACAACAATATTATACCGTCCAATGTATGTTAAAAGTTTTTCTACACCTTATCTTTTCAAATTGATTGTTTACAAATTTCCATATTTCACGTGCATGGAATGCTGCATTTGTGTCGCATTGAATAATTATGGGAGCTACTTCCTTGCATGTTATCGGAAAAAAAAATAATCAAGCCTTTTCCAACATCTAATAGATGTCGTCAGTAGTCCCCCACTCCCCAGTGAAGTTCATACGGTCTCTCCAGCAAGCATTGTAACCGGCTCTGGCGAAGTAGCACAGTTACTTCGTGCTTTCAATACGCAGACTTCTCCTACGGGTCGTTGAATTGATATCGCGGGTTCGAATCCCGCAGGACTGTGCACGCTGTCCGGAGCTTTTTCTTATTGCCCCGGAGGGCAAATGTTAATTTGACTATGGTAGGTGGATAAGGTCAAATTCTGGGAAGGGTGTGACTGTGACGGGCATCACGATAGAGAATTCGGTTATCTATGACCCGCCAAGAGAAACCTCTGTGAACCATTTTTCAAAGCACGCGCAATGGAGTTGTCGTCGTGAGACTTATGCTCAGAAATAAAGCAGCATTCAGAAAAGATCAATCACAATACTGTATTTGTTTTTGTACGAACAGCTTTTTGAGCACTCATTCAGATTGCTACTCGAATTCATACAATTGTGAATAAATCAATGAATTTTCCTCATTTGTTCCTGAAAAATCGTCGTACTTGCATCTTTTTATATTTTTTGATGGGTTTTATGCAACATTTTGGGGCACTTTCTCGTTTTTTTTTTTAGATTCTTGTTCAAAAATATTGATGTAACTGTTGGTGGGTCCGCTCAAACGGCTTATAAACACTTATCATCACTCAATTATTGATTCAAAATGAATTTTCAAATTCATACGGAACTGCTGCATGATGAATCCACGAGCTGCTGCACCCTTCGTTGCGGTTATCGACATAAGAGTATACGCACCGAAAGAAACATATCAATCCACTGTGCTCCCGTTTCTGATCGATTTGACGTGCAGTAATTGTAATTCAAATGAACAATTTCTAGCCTTATTATGAATATCTAGGTTAACGTAGGGTGTGTTGCGCGCGTGTGTGTGTGTTTGTTTTAGTTGAGAGCAAGAAGAAATTAATAATTACACATGATTTTGAGGAAAATCACTCAAACGTACCGGAAGTCATGTCTCGTGACGTTTTCCTGGACTCTTCAAATAAAAGCTCCATCATACAGCAAGCTTAACTGTGCGTCAGAAAAGCTTTAGGAACGAATCTGCTTTGTACTGAATGAACTTGAATTATTCACAGTTCGATGAATAATACTGCACATTATTAACGAACAATGCGCCAAATCCCTTCTACGGGAAAGAAAACCAAAGTGAACATGTCAGATGTCACACACTTCTTCGTAAACAATACCTGGAAACCTCTGGTTGAGACTGTATTCGAATATCGGTACAGCAGTTGCGTCTTGTGTCGTAATTGTCTCGCTGTGAAAAAAATTACTTAACTTTTAAGAATCTATATCATAAGCCGGAAAAACAGCTGGCACTCGGGGAAGTTCAAATTATGAACTGAATCAATTGAATTTGCATTAGTAGATGTTAAGAACGGAAAACTTTTTCATGCATACTATATAAACAATCGATGCAAATGTAATTCACGCACATCAACATACGACGTATCACTATAACGTTTGTACAAAACGCGCGTGAGCCGTTCGAAGCCAACTTCATATGAATGACGTCAGCTACATCTATATGAAAAATTGTAAACTGAGTCGGCGTTATTTTATGACTGACGCGGTGACAGTCACGCCGGAATGTGTCTTTATTGTGGCGAGCTCATCCTTGAATACAGTACTGTTGGACTCATACTTTCTTACTCATTCAGCTACTTGTTTGCATCGCAATAAGAGGGACAGTCACGTCGATTACAGTTGAAATGATAGATATTGAAATTCTCGCCTATATACTTTCATAGGACTGCAATCTTGGCTGAATCGAAAAGCAACAATATAAATCTCTTTCTGTGAAAAAAGTGAACCATCGAATTTTTCGTGACGCAGGTGGTCTCTCTAAAAAATTCAAGGAAGTAATTCGTTGCAATGCAAAGAGAATTGCGTTTTTAGATAATCTCTATATTATGGGGATACTGTACAGTCCTGTTGGACCACAAGGAAATTCGTTTGCACTGTGAAAATAAAATCTTTGTAGACGAGATCGTTGTAGAGAGAAAGGGAATCTACCAGTATTAAATTATATTAGCATCAAGATAATATTTTCCCAATCAATGATCAGGACAGCCAGAAAGGGAAGCGTCAATATTGAGTTTCAAATTCAAATTTGATGGTAGATATCTTTCTCTATTGCGATTACAGTATTTTGCTTTAGGAATTTTTGCTTCATTTGAGATAATTGTTTGTTGCAAAAATAAAATCATTCATGCATTTGGGATGAGGCTTTTGAAGTCACTGTTTACATAAAAAAATGTGTCAGTGAGTTAAGAATCTGGCATGAAGGTTTTCCAGATTCTTATCACCAAAGAAATCTTTAGGTTCAGAAAAGTGTAAATATCTCAAGATCAATCATTTGAATCAATGTTTAATTGCTTAGAGAAAAGATAGAACACATCTTTAGCTTTAATTTAAGACCTTGCAGGTATTTTCAAGTCCAAAATTGAAGGAGTTTTCTACTTCAGAATTTTGTGCATTGAGTTTTGCCACATGCAATGCATTTTTTTGCTGATTTTATTTCTTTTGGAAACAAGTTTTTATTCCATAATGCAAGATTTTATCTGCTGATTTTGTGTGGTTGTGTCTTTTGGTACCTGTGATCAGAGACAATAAGAAGTCCTCATTTAACATGTAAGGACTCAAGGAGTGAGGATGCTCCAGCTTCATTTATTTTTGCTGCCATAAATGTACATGTGAACTTTAAATTAAAATCCCTTGGGGGCTAGGTAACTGCCTCAGCACTTGGGTGTCTCTTGCATCTGGAATGTGTTTTTTGCAGCTTAAAATCTGTAATAAATACTGTATTGTGTTGTAATTGCTTCACGTCAAAATCATTCCTTCATTTTCTTCCTATTCAGTGACATAATTCGATTATCTCTGACATTTTCCATATCCAAATTTCACCTTCTCCAGCTTCCATGCCCGTGTTTTCATTAAAAAAAATTATTAATATGAAAGCTTTGTAAATGTCATGTATCGAAAAAAAAAACCTGCAATAACGGGGAGAAAGAAAACAAGAAAGAATCAGACAACCAGCTTCTTTCAAAGTGTAAATATCTCAAGATCAATCATTTGAATCAATGTTTAATTGCTTAGAGAAAAGATAGAACACATCTTTAGCTTTAATTTAAGACCTTGCAGGTATTTTCAAGTCCAAAATTGAAGGAGTTTTATACTTCAGAATTTTGTGCATTGAATTTTGCCACATGCAATGCATTTTTTTGCTGATTTCATTTCTTTTGGAAACAAGTTTGTATTCCACAATGCAAGATTTTATTTGCTGATTTTGTGTGTTTGTGTCTTTTGATACCTGTGATCAGAGACAATAGGAAGTCCTCATTTAACATGTGAGGACTCAAGGAGTGAGGATGCTCCAGCTTAATTTTTTTTTTTTGCTGCCATAAATGTAGATTTGAACTTTAAATTAAAATCCCTTGGGGGCTGGGTAACTGCCTCAGCACTTGGGTGTCTCTTGCATTTGGAATGTGTTTTTTGCAGCTTAAAATCTGTAATAAATACTGTATTGTGTTGTAATTGCTTCACGTCAAAATCATTCCTTCATTTTTTTCCTATTCAGTGACATAATTCGATTATCTCTGACATCTTCCATATCCAAATTTCACCTTTTCCAGCTTCCATGCCCGTGTTTTCTTTGAAAAAATTATTAATATGAAAGCTTTGTAAATGTCATGTATCGAAAAAAAAAAACCTGCAATAACGGGGAGAAAGAAAACAAGAAAGAATCAGACAACCAGCTTCTTTCGTTTCCCAGGGTTGATTAGTAGCTGGTCTCAGTTGAAGCAGAAGCAACAATAAATGAGCCCAGTGGCGAATTAGGCGACGGCGGGGTGCCGGGAATTAATCAAGCCGACGCAACCTTTCGCCACCCGAGAAGCCCGGGTGTCGGGGCGATGAAGCGAACCCATGGGGGGATAAGGTTGAATAATTGAGAGGGATCCAATGATGCCCCCCCCCCTTCTTCCCCTTATACTACCCTATACTGCTTCTTTTGAGGATCTTCCAGAAATATATCTAATCAGGCTCCGGCGTGCTGCTGCTTGGAGCAGCTCTTCCATACGTCTCGTCCCGTTCTTCCCAGGGTTCTGATGAGTTATTCACCTTGGGTTTGCTATTTATATCCCGAATTTTTTTTTTGTCTTCCCGTTCTAAGTGAAGCCAAGAAAATAATTTAATCTCTGAAATTAACATTCATGCTTTTTTCGGTAAACTTCAATTATTCAAGTCGTGTGATAATAATTGTTTATAAACCGTGTGACCGGACCCACCAACAATTACGTCAATATTTTTGAACAAGAATCTCAGAAAAAAAAAAACGAGAAAGTGCCCCAAAATGTTGCATAAAACCCACCAAAAAATATAAAAATATGCAAGTACGACGAGCTTTCAGGAACAAATGAGGAAAATTCATTGGAAAGTCAGCATTAAAAATGTGATCCCGAAGAGTGGAGAGAGTTTTTGGCAACGTTTCAATTTCAGGTGTTTTAGCACTCCAAATTAATCACGTGATAGATCAAATTTTCCCTCAATTCTTGAAGAAATCAGTGGGAAATACTGAAATACCGAGGTTGTGTTGCATCTTTTGTAGACATTCGTGCTGCTGAGCTTTCAGACAAATTTTAAGACCTTTTTTTTTATCCACATCAGAGCGAGAAACATTGAGAAAAAGAATACTTTAGGATACATTTAACCTTATTCTTCTTGCAAATGCGGTTTCCAAGAATTGAACTCGAATATCATGATCAAAAATTGTCTCTTTACATTGAAGGAAGGCGTTTTTAAAGCTTTGATAAACTTTTTTTTCAGGCATCATAAAAAATCAAAGATTCATCTCTGCCGAAATTTATTTGATAATGGGAAAGTACACTCAAATTTTGCTCGAAAAATCTTTCCCATAGGCCACAGAAACCCTATTTGAAAAATGGCTTCTTCGCATACAAGAAACGCGGATCTTCTTTTAAAAATAGTATATTAGCGTGTTATGATTTCATTAATCAAGTCCGCGAGTGCGTGGGATATGTGTTGTATGTTCTGGGGACAATGTGATGAAACCTTGTCTTTCGGCGGGACAAAAATGTTTTCAGGGATCTCCCACATATAAGAAAAATATAAAGAAGCCGAAGAGAATCCCTAATGAACATTGGGACACGTCATTTTGTGTGAGGCATAAAAAGGACCAGGTGTGTCGCGAATGTGAGTCAGAACATCAGAGGCATTCAGTCCTTGCGGAAGACATTTTTTCTTCGTAGATACTGTACCTAAAAATTGCTCAAATTTTTGATGCTTAGAAATTTGAATACCGCATCTTTGTTTATTTTATATCACTGTAATCGAAATTATTTTGAAATCATTTCAGAGTCCCGGGTTGCAAATTAAGATGCATTTCGTGCGAGCGTTTGTTGGGCTAGTCGCTGTGGTGGCATCGGGGTCAAGCCAGGTCACTTTTTCTCGAGGTTGGCTGTCGGGAGGCAAAAGGAGCCCCTTCTTGTCGACACCATTGAAACCCAGCAACGGTGACACGAATTCCGAAAATGACGGCAACGCATTTGCATCTCGTCACGGCCTCATCGATAACCAAGACCAAGTTGCCGCAAATGTCCTTTCTTCTTCAGTGAGTTGATGCTTCCGTACTAGAAACAATTAAAAAATTGACTTCCAAATACACAGTATTGGTTTTCAACGCCAATATTTAAAATTCAGCACTTGTTGCGCGATCGATCATCCCATCAATTCATTTTTGAAACAACTACAGCTAAGCGAAAGGCTCTGTTGGCAAATATGGCAATTATTTCTTCTGTCAAATGACGCATGACGGTAAATTTTCCTTTCTGAGCAAAACATACTCTACCATTGAAAAATGGAAATACAGTATTTTTTAAAGATTTTAAACTGTCTCTTCTGAATTCGTGAGTACTTGTGTCAGTTCTTTTGGAGTCATCAAAGTTTGTATTTGAAAATAATGCGATACCGGAAATGTTTACCGCAAAATTGAACAATAATTTTTCTTCGACGGCATCAACTGATTCATCTCACTTGAAATCCCGACAGTGAAAATTAAAGATTTCTATTGTTGGATCAAATTCAATCGCTGTTGACTGTCAAGTCGAGTTCATTTTATTAGTGATGCGAGATCATACAAATCAGCAGTTGGCACTTCAAATATCTATGTAATAAATGGCAGTTTCAATCTTAATACTGTAATTAAGTTGAATTAAAATGTAACAATCGAAAATTTGCCTCTGAAAATGTTCCGTTCTCTCTGTTCCGAAGGGGAAATCCCTTCTTGATGAGAATTCTTCTTCTTGCTGCAGTCTTCCAATTATTTATTTATTTATTATTTTTTGCAGAGATTAAACCTTGTAGAAAGGTCACATTAAGCTGTTCAGCGCTATCTTTTCACATTATCAGAATCAAAAACGGATTCAATAAGAAAAATTCCGCAGCAACTCAGTAAAATTGCCTACAAGATATTGCGGAAAGTTTCGACGGGTTGGATTTCTGTTCAATCGTGCGCAAAAAGGAAAGTCGTCTATTTGTCTCCCGAAACCCGAGAGAATGCACAATTTTCTCATTCTACAGATGAATGAATTCTTTTCTCTTTTTTTTCTGCAGGGCTTCGAATCTCTGGACAAGCCAATGTGGTCAAAAAATCGCCCTTTCTTCTTCGTCTTGCCACTGCAGCCTAAATCTCTTTCGCGCACTAATGGTCTTTTACGTCGTCTTCTTCGGTCTGCTCAAAGTCAAGAAATTACTGATGACATCTCGATTAAAGAGATCCCTGCCGTGATTTCTCCGAAAATGATGGAAATTACCTCCGGGAAAAATAAGGAGGCTGTTCCGGGAATCGAATCAGCTGCTGAAGCCGAAAGAAAAAGTCACGAACACGGACAAATTTCCGATGGAAACGACGAAAACTACTCTTACTCTTTCAAACCTTCATCCGGAGAAAACGAATGGAGTCAGTCATCCAACTTGATTGATTACGAATCCCAAATGCCCGACGAGAATCGATTTTAAAAAAACCATCGGAATTCGTTAGTTCTGAATACATATGAATGGCAATTTTGCTGCTTCCTGCGCAGAAAAATAAAAAAGCACAACTCTGAAGAGAAGGAAAATAAAACGCAACTCTGCTTCGCAGCTTGAATTCTGGTGACTAAAATTTTTGCGCGATCATCTGACCGTTTTTATGCTGAAAAATTACTGTTTTCGCGTAATTTTAAATTAAGTTTACTCTCGCAAGAAAGAAACGGCTGTTAAATCTTTCCAAAAAGGGGCAATACTTGGGGTCAAAACGCATTCGACACGTGACCAGTATTATTTTATCGGCGACACGTGCGTCGTGGTGTCGTCGTGTCGCGTGTCCGATAACCGCAAACATTCTATCCGCACGCAAAAAAAAAAAAAAAACTGCAATGAAAGTTTTGTCCCTTCCTCAATCCTTTTTTTCTTTTCGTAGAGGGGGTGGTTGAATGATATATGTATATTCCACCCTCGTTCTCTATCGTCATGTGAGCTATCAGAGACTTGAAAACACGTCCAGAGATTGAGACAGGAAGTGGGCAAAACATATACGTGTAAAGGCACAGAGATAAATCGACGGATCACAGAGCCGTTTGTCAAACGCTCCTTCGGAATAGCCAATCTCGCAGGCAAATGACCGGCACTCGGTATTCTTGCTTTTTCGGACAAGCAGCTTGTCATCACACTGTACAGAAATGTGCACTGTAAGCAGAAAAATAATTGTGACTGTTGAGAGAGTGAAAAAATGGCCCAGAAATAACACACGACAAGAATTCATAGCTCCGTGAATTTATTATGAAAATTAAGGTCATTTTTTCGACCACAAAAGATGTAAATTTTCGTCTTGATTAAAAGTACAGCAAAGTTCCTCTGGAAATTTGCACAAATAATTTGTCATAAAGTTATTTCACGTTATGACTTGAATACACGAAGGTATTTTGCACACACTTGAATACTTGAGGTTTCTTTTCATTATTTTTTTAATTCCCCATGGTCGTTAGTTTACTTAAATTTACCCAGAAGTGAAAGGACATTGAGAGACACCTCAATTCAAAATCTGAGAGGGATTTTTGTTTTGATTTGCAATTATGGTGTGTTTTAAAAATCCCTGGATGATGCACTTGATGCTCATGGGCTGTTCCTGTAGACTCACAAAAATTAGTTAATTGACTAATGCAGTGTCCCCCAATGACCCATGCTGGTCCACATAAGTTTTTTGCTGGTCTGCGGGGAATTTTCTGCAGCATAATAAATTATTCAAATGTAGCAATGAAGTCTGTTAGTTTATCCAAAATTTCCGAAAGACAATGGCAGTTGAAATATCAGACAAAAATGAAATTGGGGTTTCTTCTGATAAAACTTCAGACAAATTTTTGCCTGGTGAAAGAAATTATTCCACGTTTTCATTTTGAAAAACCTTTCTTCAAGCCCACCTTTTTAATTCTTCTGAAGACATTCCATTGTAGCTGCTTCATTGGTTCTTAACTTGATATTTCCCATAAGCCAAACAATTTTAAATACCTGGCATCGGAGTCTTTCAAGCAAAATTTCCTTTCAGTATGCGAACATTTTATAAAACTTTGCTGGTCTACAGAACAGTTTTGGAAAATCTGCTGGTCTGCAAAATTTTTTTATGGAAATATGGGCTCAAAAAGGGTGGGGAACAATGGCCAAAAGCATCATCAAGAAACCTTAAAGAAAAATACTGGCTTAATTCATCAGCGCGAATTTCGGCTACAATTCATGACTGAACTCCTTGATTCCAGATCCAGAGAAACTTTATATCAACCGATTCGTTAAATATTACAGCTTTTTGACACATAAAATGACCTTAAACTTTGGTTAGATGCTTAAGCATGGTTTAATGAACGGCCCTGTCGTAAAAGAGATATTCGTGTACGTCCCAGGAAAAGGAGAAAATACCTGGAATCGATCGAAACCCCCTGGACGGATTATTTCGCCTGCAGTTGCGCACACTTTTTTCCGCGAAATACAGAGAAACAAGAACGAAGAAGAGAGGCCCTTGAAGGGAAAAAAAGAAGGATCAGCAAAAGAAAAAAAGTGGCTGCCCTGACAAATGGCACTCGGGTGCGGAAGGAAAAATCCGGACCTTTTTCCGCTCGGACAAGCCCGCGATCAATTACCAATGATGCCGCCCGGGGAGGCTCTCAATTGCCACCCGTGTTTCCCTGAGTACGACACTCGCACCCGAAAGCCCTTTTTTTCACCCCTGCTGCTGCCACTTCTTGTCCAACTCTCTGGTCAGGGAACCTGAATCCATTTTCGAAATGTTTCTGTAATGCAATTATGAAATACAAGCGATTTCCGTCGAGGAGAACCAGACACCTTTCATCATGGGTTAAAAAGGAAAAATTCTGGCGAAATAACCAGCTTTTTTCAACCTGTAGTTTTGGAGGCAATGTGGAGACTTGATTATTATTCACCTTTAAGCAGCGCAGCCAGGATTTATGTGCACAATTTCGTGCCATCACTGGTATAAAAGGAAAAAGGAAAATCCTAGCATGATCCCAATAAAGAGCCGAAGTCAGGAAAAATTCGAATTCTTTTTTATTCCTGAAGAAAATGTTTCTGAGAAATAGTGTTTTACTGCCCAAGTGCCAAGCAGTGTTTTTTTTGCATTCCCGCCATAGAATTAGCATAAGTGATTTTGAAGACAATGGGTTTTGCTCTCCAGGATTTTTTCCATTTTTGGATACTTATAGCCAAAGTTTTGTTTAGGTGACCTTTGGTCAAACAAAGCTTCCAAAAATTTCCCACCACCCCTGCGCAATCGAAATGGACATGCCAATGCCCTAGACTTAATTTATTACCTGGAAGTTGCTCGTAAATGAGTAGTTTTTCTCAATCCAGTTACAATTTTTAAATTAAGAAAAAAAATCACGCAATGGAACAGCTTGAAACTTCTGCTGTTTATGTCTCACACTTTTTTTTAATACACTGAAGCAAAAAAATAAGTTCAAATGAATCGAAATTTAAATTTAAATGATACATTCACGGGAAATGATTGAATTTACGCATACAATACGGTATACTAAAAAAAAATTTATTATAACATTTCAGCCGAAACAACTTAGGCACCGTGCGTCAAAAAGGTCATCATGACAAATATTTGAAATTTATTACAGGAAATGTGTTTTATTCGGGATATTTCCCCCTTTTTAAATGTCTGCAAATTTTCTAAATTTTTTCTTTCTGCCACAAAACTAGTTCTGAAGCAATCATGTACACTTTTTACAGTATGTTATTTGCCTTTTTCGTTGTAAACTTTCACCCTGGAAAATCATCTATGCACCTCGATCGTCTTCTATCTTTTCCCTGATGAAGGGACCGATTTTTGAACTGCAGTAAGTTACAATAAAATGCTTTACTTGCAAATGAAGTTGGGGCATTTTGATTAAAATTTGAAAAATCTCTGTAAAAAGGAATGCTAAATGAGGCTAATTTCTAAAAAACGTATCAATTCAAGTATTGTACTTCCATAGGTAGATTCTTGTTGATACCTGTTTAATGATTGGAGGAACTTTTGTCCGCATCAGCAGATATGCTAAAGCACAGTATTGAGAAGGGAAACTTATTTGTTTGAAATAATTTTTGTCAGGACAGGAAGACACGCCAACTTGAAGATATTAATCCCTGTTACATAATATCCTTTTATCCTTCCAGAATCTCAATGTTGAAAAAGTTGTCCTTGCATACAATTGATACTTTCTTGTGATATATAAGTTTGATCTAAGAAGATTTTACCCGAATTGAGTATTGTTAGCTAACCAAGTCACGAAATTTACTGATCATTCCATTTCCTCATGTGCACGACAATTCATCTGTTGGAAATGCATATCATCAAAAATTGCGAAGACAGAGAGGAGTTCTTATCTTGACATAAAAAACTACTTTTGACTCGAATTCTTTACAAACAGACACCAATGATGTAAACGTGGATGACTTTTTACTACTCTAAATTCAATTCTTGACGCGTGAAAAGTCGGTTATAAAAATATGCTGCCGTGTGATACTGAATTTACAGCCTAAGAAGCTTTGAAACATTCCACAAACAAACTGATGAGGAATAAGTCAACCGAAAATAGTTGTAAATAAGCCCTTTAAAAACAGTATAATGATGCAAACCATAAACTTGATTCGCTTGTATGCGATTATTCATTTGTAATTCAGGCTATTTTCCTTCCAGATAAAATTTTGTACAGCCAGAAATAAAGGTTTCAAATTTGAATCCTCCCAATGCGTGTACTACCGTTTCTGCTCGTTATACTGTAGTTTTAAAATGCGGCCCAGATTTCGATTGATTTTCTTGAAATGACCTGTTCGAGATTTGCATAATTTTCATTTTAAAAATATTCATGCTGGTCCTATATAGTATATGAACGTTAAGCTGAAGAAGAAGGAGTACATTCGAAAATGAATGCCAAGTGAATTTTTCCTAAGCCTGGTTCCATCGCTCATTTTTAATACAGTAATTCAGACTCACAAAAGGGGTATCAGACATTCAACTCGCCCTGACACTCCAACACGTCACATGGAAATGCATTTTTCCAATTTTGAACAGAAATCGTAACAATATACAGTGCGCCACTCCGCCGTCTCGCGTGTCGCCGTTCTGCAAAATTGAAACATAATGAAACGGAATGAATTCGCCGTCAGGAAAGATTTGCATATTTTCGCCCCGAGAAACACTTTCCGTTTCCCGGCGTTTCAAACAGATGAGAATGATATAAAGACGAAAATCCCCACCCGAACAGCAAAAAGCGGCGCCACCAGCAGCAGTTGTGCTGATGTGTGTAGGTTATAAGAGCAGGGGTGCAGAGCCATGGTTGCGAGTTCAATTCGTCGAGATTGATGTCCAAGGGGCTGACAAGATTTGTGTCTCGCGGATTTGAGTCCCGAGTCGCCCGGATTTAGATCTATCTCATCCCTCTGCATACCCCCCCATACAAACCCCCCAAACAAAGCACACACACACACACACACACAAACCCTGCTGTATTCTTCAAGTTTCACCATGGCGTTGGAATTGAATCCGAAAACCCCCCTCCACTCCACTCAGCGATGCAAACGTAGGGGATGAATATACGAGGGAATTTCAAAAAA